AAACCAGCAAAAAGCACGAGACTTGAAAGAAAGAAAGTATTAAACGATCAGTTTAAAGTTACATGTACAGGAAAATATTAAAGATTTCTAAAATATCAGCCTACCCAGATAACGACAGATTCGACTGGGTCACATGTCGAGTTAAGAGACATGAAACAATCATGACGCAATTTAACATAAAATGAAAAAAGTTCATGAAAGTGTCATTCGGTCAAGAAAAAAATATTTTGTTGTCCGCCGACATTATAACTAAGAAAAGAAACGAAGAAGAACGTGAACAAAAATAATGCTGTCCAAAAAATAGACGAATATATATTTTTCTTTCGACAGTTATTTCATTATTTCCGAAGAAGATATGATATATATATATGTGAATAAAAAATCATTGATTCACACATGAATGGATCGAATAAATATCTTTTTCAATAATACTTTTTAACATTTAATGATAACAACAATGAAATCTATTGAATGTTTGCCGAACGAACTTTGGTTATTATTTATGAGTTTTCTTCCACCAATCGATCTTTATAGAGCATTGGCTGGTCTTAATCATCGTATTAATTATTTACTTTCTTCTATGACTCCACGTCCGGTTCTCGATACATCTCAATGTGCTGGTGATAGAATATGTTTTTCTGATCTTCTTCAATTAATCGAAGGCAAAGATATTTGGTCTCAATTTCTTCTTTCTTCAATCGATACAATTCGTCTTTATGACACATTGGCTAGTGATGCACTTTGTACATACTATCAATCTCCAAAGCATTTTTCTTCAAATCAAACTTCTTTCTTACATTTATTTCCTTCACTTCGTCGATTGTATATAACAGGAATTTCTGATAAAATCGAAATATCACAACTGTTTGTTCCATTATTCACTACGCTTTGTGATGTTCATTTCACATTTGATGCATCTATGTGCTGCTCATCGTACTATAAAGTGGTGAATGGTTTTACTGATCATGGTTTATCATTTTATCGTATGGTATTTGATGTTGAAGATGGTAAGTTTCTTGGTCAGTTTTGTATCAATCTTTTTGATCTCAAATAAAAGTTTGTTCTTTCGCAGATTGATAACACTCTACACTAAATGATCTAATTGAAAGAAGGAATGAAAGAGTGATAGTAGAAAAATAAAAAAGTGCGAGCATCATGATATCATCTGATCTGAATAAATATTCAAATGTTTGAATTTTCTTTTAGATGATATTAGTGAATATTCGGATTCAAATGAATATGAATGGAAACGAATGTATTTACCAAATACTGTTTATTTATCACTCTATATCAAACGATTAGATGATCTATTCAATCTTCTTGATACTCAAGCATTACCTGTTCTTGATCATCTCAGTGTTGCTTTTATCACACGTGATCTCGAATACGATGTAAAAATGATGAATGTTAACAATATAACAAGTCGTTTACGTTCTCTCAAACTCAGTCACATGTCAATAAACAATCTTCTCATCTTTCTTTCATTCGTTCATATGCCTTTACTCGAAAAGCTCACACTGATTGATATTCATGATAATAGTAAGTTTAATAAATGAAAATTTAGATATTTTACAAAATGAATTATTTCAATTTCTTGGAAAATCTATTTATATCAGTTTATCTTTTCAATTTCTAACTAAACATTGAATTGTTTTTTTTAAATTTAGCACTCAATCGTCTTAACGAGTTTCAAAAATATTTTGAGACAAAGAAAAATCTTCCTGCTCTTCGTCCATCATCATTTCGATTTCTACTTCGTTTTCCTGGTAAACTTGAAAGTAAATGGAATAAATATCGTTATTTGCAATGGCCACTTGATGTTGTCAACATTGATCATTGTCTTGAAGAGCATCGTTTATCTGTTGTGACATACTATCGTTCACGAACATTATCACTACCAAAGAAATATTCTCTTCTTATTTTTACTCGTTCATCTCTGCCTTTCCATCGAATTATACACAATTATTCTGCTGCAATGACACTCAAACAAACATCATCAATTGAATGGACTTGCGATTACCTTGACAATTCTGAACAAATTTTTGAAGTTTTATCAAAGTTTGGGACGATAAAGAAACTCAAAATTGGAACATGGTCCGGAACAAAATTTCAAAATGTATGTGAAAGTCTCATTACTCAAACGCGATTTGGGAAAGACTATTCCAAGTCCTCATGTACACATCTGAATCAACCTTTTTCTCATATTATTGACACGCATGGATCATAACAGTTGCTATCTGAGCTGAGCAAGAATTAAATCTCTCGAGTACGAATACTTTGTCCAGCTCTGGTTGTCACACTATAGGGATCTAAAACGAAGTACGCAAGATAAGAACTTCGTAAAGATTAATGACAGGTAATAGATATTTGTTCCGAAATCGAATATTTCTCCAACAAAAAGATATTAGATTGACAAAGTGATCTATGTCAAAATTGCTTTTTTTCTGAAGTTTTGATGCATGAAATGCTCAAACTTCAAGATTTGTCCATGGCACTTGAGTTTCTTTTTAAGCAACTCAAATACTGTATATATGGGAGAAAAAGTCAATCGTATAGAAATAAATAAAAGAAATCACTATGTCTCTGTTAGCTGTTTAAAAAGTTATGTGTGCTTCAGTGGTAAGAGGATAGTATTGCATCTTGTGGTATGTGGACAGTTCCTCGTTGAGCAAAATTCATATTGGTGCTTGAATATTTTTTTATTTTTAGATTGCTGCTAAATCTATTATCTTTTCATCACCATCTGATCGACTCCAATTAGATAAACTTCATTCACTCACATTGTTCACAACTGAGAGTTCAGACAACTTTCTATTGAAATCGCAACAACATTTCTTTCTCCGTATACTTCTTTCAGCAACAACGCAACTTGTTAAATTAACTATCAATTGGAATTATATCATGAGCATCGATTCAAATTTTACCAGTGAACCTTCTGCTGTCTCACCTCTTCTCAATTTACGTCATTTACATTTGTGTTATTTCAATGTAGATGGTAATTAACAGTTGTCAACATTCTAAAAACATAAAGACATGAGTTTATCTAAAACAGATACCTATTTATGTGAATATTAATCGTAAGATGAAAACTATCACAGATATGATTGATTTGGATAATTATAGTCATTTCAGTAACTATTTTATGCTTCAAATATTGATCTTAAAGAAAGTACGCTAACATATTTTATCATTAAATTCAAACTTTTTCATTTATTAAAAGGAATAAGAGAGCATCTGATATGATGAAATTATCTGAACGGAAACGATCTTAAACAGTCAATTTTATTTTCTCTTTTTAGAACAAATAAATTTATCAAAGTTGTCCGACATTTCTCTGTTATCGAAATTGTTTCCAAAACTTATTTCATTCTGGACGAGTGGATGGAATATACCTCTAGACGAAAATTTTGTCAAATTAGTTATATTAATTGTTACTCATTTTGAAAAACTCACTGAAATTATCATTAACAAAGACTCTGATTATCGACATTTAGGTATTCATGGTCATGATTTATTATCTACTCAACAACGTTATGTTGAAAACTTATTAAGAAGTATTCATAAACTCCACGATCCAAATCGTACGAGTATTCTTTGGACTAATTTCCCTGATTTACGTATCTGGTTATAAAGAATATTTTTCTTGATTAATAAAATGAAATACTAGATGTTATTGTGGACATCCTCTTTTCTTGAACAAACTATATTGGTAACAGATTTCTCAAAGAAAATCTTATGTAAACTTATAACAAATATTTAAAAATATTATCAACTGACATTGAATATATAGAAATATGCATTTTGGCTGCTAATAGCATTGATTCAGATGATCGGTTGATTATGGATTAAACTATTTCTCATACTATGACGAAAAGACAACCGTATGATACAACTTATTTACTTGTATTCTAAGTTAAATATCCAATGAAAGCATTTTTTAGTGAAAATTCCAAACAACGTTATAATGATATATTTCATTTATTAATTATTTTACGTTATGTTCAAAATGAATTAAATAATTTATGGTTAATATTAAAAAATCAACATAAAAATTCTTTAATATTGCATTTAAGAAATGCAATGTCTTTTTTTATAAATAATTTTCAATATTATATTCAAATTGATGTATTAGAATATAAATATCAACAATTAATACGTTCAATATTATCAAGTACTGATTTTCAAAAAATTAAATATTTACATGAAGTATTTTTATCTGATATTCAACAACATTCATTTATGCTTTTAGCAACAGCATATCAATCAATAAGAAATATTTTATCAATATGTGTTTCATTTTGTTTAACAGCAAAACAACAAGAAAATAATAATAATTTTGATGAAAATATTTTACGACAATTTGGACGAGATTTTAATGATGAAATAAGACTGTTATTTGGAATATTAGGAATGGTTCAAAAACATAATGCTTTACCACATTTAGGTGTTTTCTTAACAAGACTTGATTTCAATAGATTTTTAACAAATAATAATGGATCATTTGGAGAATTCTAAAAGACTAAAACAAAGATATTCATTCAATGTCAATCTCTTTTTTTTTTGTTTGTTTTTTGCTTTGTTTGACTATAAAATAGATAAATATCAATGGTTATTCGACTCAGGTTTTTTTTTTCAAAACACAAAATACAATCAGTATTCAGTTGGATATAATAACTTTTATTGTTTATAAAAATGCATCTTGACTTCCTAATAATATTAATATTAAAAGCGAATGAAGAACTTCTCGATACAATATGATTAGCTGTGTTAAATCGAAGCTATCAATAGATATGTCATGAAGTCAATAGTGTACTGCAGGTAAACTAGTCTTGATTTTGAGGAGAGTAGGGGCGCGGACACAGATCATTTATTCAATCTCATGTACGCCTTGAAAATTAGAAAATCTTTCAGCTATGTTTACCATGCCAAAATATTCTTTTAGCGACGTCAAGTGTACTCTAGAATCGTACAAACATAGATGCGCTATGGTCGAGAAAGTTATTTGTTGTTGATGTATGTGTTTGAAAAATTAAAAAAAAAATCACCTTCGTAGTAACAGACAGACTGCTATTGAAGTCAATATGTATACGATAAATATTAACTAAAAGTTTACAAGAACATATGAGAAAACTCAAAATGCAAAATTACACTACTGCATACATAGTAAGTAAATTCAAACCGTTCAAATAAAAAAAATTGATTAATTTTGACATCGATCAATTATTGATAATAGATGATTGTAAATATTGAAAATTAATCAAAGCAGTAAGCTACTTATGTATGCTATAAATACTGCTAATGATATCAAGCAATAGACAAGATGACTATCAAACGATTGATGGAGGTTAAGGGTACGAAAGATTGGCAGAACAGTATGCTACGTCACTCACGTCTAGATCCGTTGCATGTTTCTGTCTCGTTTCGTTTTATCAACGAATTTTGCAAGGGCTAATTATTGTCTTTCATGTTTTTGTAGAGTTCCTCAATGACTGGAATGACATAGCACGCGCTCCGAAAAGCTCTGATAGACATTCGTATAGGTGTGAGCAGCCGGGCAAGATTATCACATCTGCTTCCATTGTGTACTGTATGGTTCGATCTACACTGAGGAAGGTGTGGCTGTGGAAGTACTGTTCTACTGATACGGACCCTCACTCACACCCACACCCCACACACTTTATTCTTTTATTAAATCAGGAAGAAAAGAACCATCTATTGTCTAATATAGGATTGTAGAGGAGACCCAGAGCTATCTATCTATGAAAAAACGATAGGTTTCTATCCGAAATTTTTAAGCAAAATCCTTCAAGATTCCGATATCGAAAGGTTTTTAAGAATTGAGTTTGATAGTAAAAACGTAGTCTAGAGTGTCCTGTTTCTATTGCTGAAAACTTCAGATCGATAGCTTTTGTGGTTTTTGAATTATTATTTGAAAAACAACCAACTGCCTTATATTTTGACCCCGATATTCTTATTCGCATTCATTCCTTGCACTTCGTTTTAGTACTGTAATTATTTATGAATCAATCTAATTTCGACATATTTTATTTAAATAATCATTCATCACAATTAGCATATCTCTGTGTAAGGAAAATAGTCTTTTACATGTTTAAGAATCGTACATTCACCATGCAGACGTAAATAACGCAACTTTGCACAATTGATTCGTGTTATATTTCTTTGAAAATTGTGTGTCACTCTTGCTAGTGATTGATAATCAATAATAAGATAAAGATTATTCGACAAACACATTTTCGTATCAAACAAAAATTGTTCAATATAATCATCATGAACACAATCTAGATTAAGTAGAGTAAGATGAGGATATTTGATAATTGATAAAATTTGATCGTAATTTTTGAAATTTTGACATTGTTTTTTGTTTTGTGGTTTTTGATTAATTACAGTTAATTCTTTCATAAATGGAAATGATTTTTGAATTTGAAGAAAGAATTCATGTTCAAAAGGTTGTTCATCAAATAGTGACACTTCAGTAACATATTTAAATAATCCACCTGGAAAATTATTTGTAATATTTCTATAAAATTTTAATTTATATGGATATGAATAAATGTGATATTCACTGTGTCCTGCCTCAGGAAAATAATTAACATAAGAAATAATTTGATTATTTTGAAGACTATTGAATGTATGTTGAATATCTTCATTTAATGGTAAACGAATTTCATTACAAAAATATCTCATTGAACGTATGTTAAATACAAAATTTTTTAATCCTGGTATTCGATTGATAATATTTTTCTTCAAATCATTACTATCAACAAATTCTTCATTACATAGGATCATAAGATGTAAATCAAGTTTTTCTAAATTGATCATTCGATATAGAAGTGGTAGAATTGATCTTTCATAACTATCTGTAGTGCTATCACAATGAAGCGAAAAACATTTTAAACTAGATAATTTTTCCTAAAATAAAAAGAACATACATCACTTCATTTAAATAAATTAAATATTAATCTACCTTATTATTGATTGTTGTAGCTAAAGCGAAAAGTGAAAAAAATATGAACATGAAATGAATGAAGTTGATTGAAACGTCCATCAAGTAAATAAAGACAATCAATAAAATGATGCAAACAGGGTGGGTGTGGGTGTGGGTGTGGGTGTGGGGTGTGGCTCTTCTTTTGTTCTATACCCACACCCACACCCTTTGTGCTTTTAGGATTCCAACGCTTTGCAATTGCAGACGTCTTGAAATTCTGCGAATTCGACAGGCTTCAGCATGGCCTTCATCCTTACAAAGACCGCAGAACGTTTTCACTCGCGGAATCTTTGAAATCCTTGCTTTCACGACCTAAAGCTTAAGGACTCTAGTTGTGGTTTTAGCATTTATAGGATCTCGGAGGTTGCTGGCCTGGGAATTCTTGGAACCTGATAGACTCCCGGTTGCCCTTCATCGCTATGAAGACCACAAAACGTTTCCACTCACGAAATCCCTGGAATCCTTACTTTCACTTGTTAAGCCTGAAGGGCTGTATAGCTGGTTTTAGCATCGGTAGGATTCCTATGCTTTCCGATGTTGGATGTCTGGGAATCATAGGAATCTGATAGATTCCAACATGATCTTCATTATTCTGAAGAGTATGCAACCAGTTAAGTCATGGAATCCTTGGAATCCTTGGAATTCTTCTACCCTCTGCAGTTCTACTATTGGAGATTCTTGAAAAATCGACGAAAAACGAGTATTACTAGTATCGTCACAGCGGCTATGGTTCCTCGGGTGTTGAATAGTGTCAGGGATACTTGGAAACATCTAAATTTGAAGTTTTTTAAACACTTTCATTACTTTTTTATAAAAAGAGAATTTTCAATATTTCAAGGATGCGAAATCCTTGAAAATGCGGCGTGCCTGGCTCCCGGGTTGATACACTTTTATGCTTATAAAAACAAAAAAATCAAGCTGTTTTATTAGAAATTTTTAATCAAATTCAAGGATTCCGACGGTGTGCCGGTGATTGCATGATTACATGAACGCTTTAAATGAAAAAAAATTAGTTTTTTGTCCGTTTCGTAGTCCTTCTTCATTTATTGGATTCCAGGTCGAATTTTTGTATTCGATGATTTCCCCAATCGACAACATAGAGATTGCCGAGTCGATCGAATGACAAATCTTTAGGCTGATTGAATTGCTTCGATTGTTCTCCTTTACCATGTCCACCAACAATGACACTTCCCTCTGTGGCTCCTTTGGGCCAACGCATGATTCGATCATTCGCTTCATCAGCCACATAGACAGTGCCCAATTGATCGACAACGACTCCTTCAGGACAAGCCAATTGTGTAAGACCATTTCCTTGTCCTTGACCACCAGCCACGACAATGCCTTGTTTTGCACCTTCCACCCATTTCATCACACGATGATTTCCACAATCAGACACGTACACTGAATGATTTTGATCGACGAATACATAGGGTGGGTATAAGAATTGATCGAGACGATTTCCACTTCCATTGCCACCTGCAACCACTGTTTCTTGAGATTCTCCTCTTCGATATCGTCTCACTTCAGGTTTTTGATTGTCAGTGACATAGAGAGATCCATTCTCGTCCATTGTCAAACCCACACAAGCGATGTCGGAGATGATCGTTTCTCCACGTGTCCCATTTCGACGAGGCCATCGAACCACTCTTCTATTCGAACGATCGCAGATGATGAGACTATCTCTCTCTTTGTCGACAATCACATCTATTGGGTTAGATAACTGATGAGTCGCACTTCCTTGTCCATTTCCACCGGCAACCACTTGGATACTCGTCGCATCCCTTTTCCATTCCACAATACGGTGGTTCGAATAATCAGCGACATATACAGTTTGATCATCATCAACATACAAACCCCATGGGTTAGAGAGTTGATTGATTCCATTGCCTTCTCGATTTCCTCCAGCCACAGTGATACCACTCTGTGCCCATTGGGCATTGACGGAAATATTAGGAATTACTACAACGAACGAGACATAGAATCGTCGTCAAAGAGATCCTCTTCGTAAGAGAAAGGGTTGCGCAAAAGAAAAATTCTTCTTCGAAAAGGGAATCCGTTACAAAAGTGGAGAATTATCTCCTCTAACAATATCTGAACCATAAAGAAGGTTCTCCTCGCAGAGATAAAGTCACATCGGATGAGTCCTTATCAAACATCTACAGTGGACGTCATAAGTCTCGCACCACTTTTTTGTTTTGGGTCTCATTTAGCAATAGTATGGGAGTTTTTCAAAAATTTTTTTTTCATTTGATAGAGCATCTCGAGTACAACAAATATGTATCTAATTGACATGTTCAGCTCTTGAATATAAAAAAATAAGAAACAAAACAAACTTTGAGACTACTGCAAAAATTTCATAAAAAAAGACAAGTTTATATTTTTGTTTAAAATAAAAGTTCACCAGACAGTATATACTCAATGAATCTGGAAATAATTGTCAATAAATTTACTTCTGAAAGGAGTGCACAAATATCTTCATCTCACATATACTCCTACGAAGGGAGACAAGGTGGTGTATTGATGGATATGATCAGCCATGTAGCATTCGTTCCCATAGAAATACCTTAATTACAATCACAGCACCATCTATCGATACTGATCACTTAAACTAACGATAAACTCAGCTATTGTTCGATACCAAATAACGGTTGATAATCTATTCGCTTTGTTTCCGGGTCATATGAAGTGAACCAAAGTTGGCGCTATTCAAACTGGAGTCCAAAATCCATATTTTACCATTTTTACCATATACCATAGAAAGTCATCGATGCACATCAATAATGTATATAATTGTTAAACAAGTCTTTATTAATTAATTAGTACTCATCTTAATTACTACTAATTATGTGAGTACTTAACTAATTAGCGCTAATTAGTCTAGTACTAATTACAGTAAGCACTCTCCTATATTCCAAAGGTACCTTTAGGTCCTCAAGTCCTATATTCCAGAGGTACCTATAGACCCTCAAGTCCTATGTTCCAGAGGTACCTGTAAGTCCTGAAGTCCTATATTCTAGAGATACCTTTAGGTCCTGAAGTCCTGTATTCCAGAGGTACCTATGGGTCCTGAAGTCCTGTATTCCAGAGGTACCTTTAGGTCCTCAAGTCCTGTGTTCCAGAGGTACCTTTAGGTTCTCAAGTCCTATATAACGAAGGCATCCTTAGGTCCTCAAGTCCTGTATTCGAGAGATACGCTTGGATTCCGAAGTCTTATATTCCAGAGGTATCCTTAGGATATCAAGTCCTATATGTCACAGGTACCCTTGGGTCCTTAAGTCCTATATTCGAGATACGCACTTACGTCCTCAAGTCCTATGTTCTAGAGATACCCTTGGGTCCTCATCTCCTATATTCTAGAGGTACTCTTAAGTCTTCAAATCCTATATGAGGGAGGTACACTTGAGTCCTCATCTCTTATATTCCAGTGGTACACATATTTCTTCATCTCTTACTTCGTGGAATTGTTCTTACGTCCTTGTTATGACATGTTTACATACATAGCATAAGAAGATATGTGTCATTTTACGTTTTGGTTCTCCTTTGCTCTTTACATGCATGTGTTGTTATTTATGGTTAACTGTTTCTTTCTGTATGTTTGGCATTTTCCTTATGGTTTTTTTTTTGGTTTCTCCTTATACTATCTTTTTGTTCTTGTTGTAATACGTCTTGTATTTTTCCAATGGTGTTATATTGAATTTTTACCTTTTGCTTGACATCCGATATAAATATCCGTTCTTTTCTACATGAAGAGTCAGTCGGGCGTAAGGATCTAGTTGTGGAGTGATAAACATTACAAATAAACATAAACACAATGGTGTGTTTATTGCATCTAAAAGTCCTCAGTACTGGTGATATAGAAGTACCTTAGGTCCTTATATCCTACTACATAAAAGTACCCTGAGACTCTTCTTTCCTATTATATGTGAGTATCGTTGGATCCTCATCGGCCACTAAATGGAGGTAATCTGAGGTCTTTAGGTGTTATTAAATAAAAATACTGTTAGATAAGGAGAATCCTATGAAGTGCATCGAAGATGCTAGCCATAAAAGAAAGTGGCGCATATACATCCCCGATCGATTTTTTGCTTTTTATGATTTTTTTTTGTAGAAGCTAAGGTAAGTATATCAGATCACTGAATCAAACTTTGGACACTTTTAATATAAGCGAAGAAAGGCAATACTTGGGGAAGGATACATTTTCAACAAATATTCACTGTCGTATAGTATATTACGGTTTGTATTTCACCCATACTTGAATGAATAGGTACCAAATCTTCATCACATATACAACAAAATATTCTCTACAAAATAAGAATAAAATCATCTTGAACAATTGCTTTCGTGATGTCTATCTCTTATAATGAAGAGAAACCCACTTTTTGGTCTTATTTTATAGTCCATCGGAAAGATTGTTTTGTCTATAACTCTATGATGATAGCAAGTTAAAAGATGAAATGTGTACCATTGATACAACTTTATACCATCTATCAAATAGTAAAAAGAGATCGAAGAATAATGATCATGTGTATTACTATGACTCGAATTTCTGAAAAAAGAAGGTATATCCCTCTGGCAAAAAATAGTGTCACACGTTATTCTTAGTATATCATCACTATAAATTAATATTTTGAGAAAAGTAATTATATATTCGGATATTCCATGGAGTTCTCTACAACTCTATATATAAATGTTATTGAGCTGGTTCTGTTCTCTAAAAATAAATCCGACCACAGTAAAAGCACCTTCATCGTCAGATTCCCCGGAAAAGTATTTTGTACTTCATCACCCTTTTTTTAAAATTCATTATTAATATAGAAACAAGTTATGACACAATTAAGCATATATGCTGAAAGTATGTGACATTCTCTATCACCTTGTACTTTTGCCATTCTTCAGTTGCAATTATTTGATGGCAAGTACTTGAATATTGGTAATTGATCCACACATCACATTCTCAGGTAAGATATTGCTATAAATTGAGGTCATATTTTTGTACAAAGTGGTTTATCATAGACTAGCCACTCTTAATAGTAACAATATTAGGACTGACAAATGGATAGTTGTCCATGGATGTTATTGATTACTGGATAATCCTTCATCGGCTCATGTATGACTTCCTGTGTAGTAATTGAGAGTAGAAGTGTCATAGTGAGCATGCATTAGCAATATTCAAGTATCTGTCATCAAATAACTGCAATTGAAGAATGGGAAAAGTACAAGGTGATAGAGGATCTCACATGCTTTCAGAATATATACTTAATTGTGCCATAACTTGCTTCTATATTAATAATGAACTTTGAAAAATGGATGAACTAAAAAATACGTTTTCGGGGAATCTGACGATGAGGATGCTTTTATTGTGTTCGAATTTATTTTTAGGCAAATAAGTGCAATTCAATACATTTATATGTAGAGTTGTAGAGAACTCCATGGGATATCCGAATATATAATTACTTTTCTCAAAATATTAATTTATAGTGATAATATATTAGAAATAACGCGTGACACTATTTTTTGCCAGGGGAATATATGTAATCCAGCCGCCATGGCTGAGTGGTTACGTTGTTCCACACTTATCCACAAGGTATTGTGTTCAAACCTCAGTATCACCAGCCATGGGATGACCCTGGACAAGTCACTTGCGGATAGTTGTCTCGGATGACTCATCCGATAGCATACTGATTACATTACTGACCAGTATGTAGAGTCAAAACACCACAACCTAGATGTCGCGGTAACATGATATCTATGATAATCGCAAACTCAGAAATGGGAAGCGTTGGATAAAAAAGGGTGCAGATACTGCCATCTGTAAAAAGGAAAAGACGATAGAACCCGAGCACGTACGGATCCCAATAAATAACGCGTGCTCGGCCCCGACGGGCGATAAGCCTACGGAGTTATTTATTATTTTATATTTATTTATATGTAATCCGCAATTCTCAGAACAAGCTTAAAGAAAATGATTCTCAGTTGATTTTTCTCTGTGTTTTCATTATTTTTCTGTATCGTGAATACCCATGCAGTCAAAAATGTGAAATTGATGCGTTTTCAACAGCTCTTTCTTTTCTGCTTCTTGATGCGTTTCACATAGTCAAATTTGTCCGAACTTTCAGGTTTTAACGGTGCCATTTTTTAACGCTTCGACACTGTTATAACCATAGATTAATTAAAACATTTTTTGGCGTTTTCTGTATAAACCCATTAAAACCCTAAAATTCAGACACTTTGGACTGTGCACATTCAGTTTATACTAAATGCGATTTAATTCATTTAATATGCAATTGGTTGATAATATTACTTAGGTAACGCGTCAAAACCTCAAAATTCGGACAATTTTGACTGTGTACAACGCATTAAACATTAATAAGATGCACTGTTTACTGTTAGATAACTTACTCCGTGTAACATTAGTTTACAAAGACTCAGGCATTCAAGAGAATAGAGAAATCACGCATTTCCATTCTGTTCAGAACAATGCGCTCTCTACCATACGACTATCAGAAATCGAACAGTAACTTGAGAGTGATACTTTTTAATGATTTATTCTATTGTGAAAATAGCAAAAAG